GAGAGTTCATGGAATAAGTAATAAGCTACCTAGTCTATTATCTCTACTTCTGTGACTGAAGGGCTGTATCTCTCATTTCAATGAGTGAGATTTAATGTAGAGCAGCCTTATAGTAAAAACTGAGTTATGGATGGCTGTAGTAGAGCTGGGCAGAGAACAGTAATTCTGTTTCACAGAGGATTTCAAAGTCTGGTTTCATTCCGATTCAGAACAACCTCCCAAAATGTTGAAGTTCTCCATGAACTGGAATTGTCATTCTCCACCAATCTGTGCTAGGAGACCTGGCTCCAGGGCAGGCTTCCCCAGAAACTGGGGTGTAGAGAGGGTTCGTCAGGGTTCCTCCCTCTCCGGGACAGCGGGGAACCACACCGCCTCCCTTAGTCCTGGCTCAAGCCGTCAGGCAGGAGGCTGAGCAAACACAGGTAACAATTAGCAGTTAACAAGCCCAGGCCCTAGGTCAGGACGGGGTAGTAAAGAATCACAGCTCAGGCCCTTGGGCAGGGGCTGAACAAACACAGGTAGTAGTTAGCAGTTTATATAGTCAACAGGCCCAGGCCCAGGCCCTGGGTCAGGGCGGGGCAGCAATGAGTTCAAGGCTCAGGCCCCCAGGCAGGGGCTGAGCAAACACAGGTAGATAGCACACCCACGCTTCAGGCTCCGAGCAGCCTGGGAGAGAGGGAGACTGCCACCCACGCGTGGGTGGCAGGGGGGGACGCAGGCCCTCTCACTCCACTGCGTTCCCAGCCCAGGGCCCTAGCAGCAGCCGAAGACCTGCTGCTGTGTCATTGGGGATCCCAGCCGCAACACACTGACATGGGTTCCGGCTGTTTCAGCCAGACTCAGGTCGGCTGTCCCCCGGCTACTTCCCCTCTGGAGGTATCTGGGTCAAGGTGGTGTCCTCAGGGGGGTCGATCACCATTGGATCCTTGGAGTAGCTGGCTAGGGGTAAGCTCAGCGACTGTTGTGGGTAGCTGGCAAGGGGTAGGCTCGGCAACTCTCCCACACGCTGATCCGCGTTGAGTGTCAGCCGGTCAGGCCAGTCTCCACGTCCACCGCTGGTTGCTGGAGTCTCCCAGTGGAAGCTGAGCTGAAGGCATCTGGCCTCTCCAGCGGCTGCCTCTCGAGTGAGCTTTAGGGTTGGGCTCTTATACTTCCTGTCTGGCCTCTGACCCTCTGGGGGGCGGGCTTGGAGTGCTCTGGCTCCACCCACTCTGGTGTCCGGTGGAGCTCGTCCCTCTCCAGGGCGCCAGGGAACCACACCACTTCCCTACATGGGGACACTGGGAGCCCTACTCAGGCACAGCACTCCAGGTGGACTGCCTCCGAATCAGAGCTCTCAGGGCTTCTGCGGTCCCCAGCTCTGGGGAAACCTGCCAGTCCCTGTTTTATGATCTAAGACAACAATCTCACATTCATCGTATAAAGTTTTATATCCAGCACGTGCAACAAAGAGCCAGAGAACAGAGTGACAGATACCCCCCACCCACCCCCGCAGTGTGCCTAGTTTTGCCTGTTCCTCCAGGAAACTGCAACAAAATAAGATCAAGATCATGATGTGCTAGGTGTCTGCCAAGTATTTGAAGTGACAGCATTGTATATTTCGGTGAACAGTACTCAGCTTTCAAAAGCAAACTAAATTTTTTCTACTGCCTTGAATTCAAATTACATTTCAAATAAACTGTAAAGAAATACAATTGGTTCAGGCAAGATTTTAAGTTCAGCAGTCTCTACTTTTTAAATTACGTTGTCATTCACTTAAAACTTAAGCTCAAAAGCATTATGCTCCTGTCACTCTTGTTTTGTTCCCTTAAAGTAAAAATATGTATAGCAGAGAAAAGTAGGAGACTGGCTGCCAGCACTCACTGAATTAAAGTTTCAAATATACCATAAATTCTATGCAAAATATAAGGCCTTCTAAACCTCCTAAATCTTCTTTAAAATTTTCTTCTGTAATATATGACTAAGTTAACAATAGTTACACTTTTGTTTAATGATGTGATACTTATAATATTATTGCACATTGATGCTGTTGTGTAATTCATTTTTCTTGCATATGCAGTTTGATCCAGTACTTAGGGCTGTCGATTAATCACAGAAAACTCACACGATTAACTCAAAATAATTAATCGTGATTAAAAAAATTAATTGGGTTTAATCTCAGTTTCAATCACACTGTTAAACAATAGAATACCAATTGAAATTTATTAAATATTTTGGATGTTTTTCCTACATTTTCATATATATTATATTCTGTGTTGTAATTGAAATCAAAGTGTATATTATTTTTGATTATAAATATTTGCACTGTAAAAATGATAAACAAAAGAAATAGTATTTTTCAATTCACCTCATACAAGTACTATAGTGCAATTTCTTTGTCATGAAAGTGCAACTTACAAATGTAGAAATTTTTTTGTTACATAACTGGCACTCAAAAACAAAACAATGTAAAACTTCAGAGCCTACAAGACTACTCAGTCCTACTTCTTCTTCAGCCAGTCGCTAAGACAAACAAGTTTGTTTACATTTACAGGAGATAATATTGCCCTCTTCTTATTTACAATGTCACCAGAAAGTGAGAACAGGCATTTGCATGGCACTTTTGTAGCTGGCATTGCAAGGTATTTATATGCTAAACATTCGTATGCCCTTTCATGCTTTGGCCACCATTCCAGAGGACATGCTTCCATGCTGATGATACTCATTAAAAAAAAATGCATTAATTAAATTTGTGATTGAACTCCTTGAGGGAGAACTGTATGTCCCCTGCTCTGTTTTACCAGCATTCTGCCATATATTTCATGTTAGAGCAGTTTCAGATGATGACTCAGCACATGCTGTTCATTTCAAGAACACTTTCACTGCAGATTTGACAAAACACAAAGAAGGTGACAATGTGAGATTTCTAAAGATAGCTGCAGCACTCGACCCAAGGTTTAAGAATCTGAAGTGCCTTCCAAAATCTGAGAGACATGAGGTGTGGAGCATGCTCTCAGAAGTCTTAAAAGAGCAACACTCTGATGCAGAAACTACAGACCCAACCCCCCCAAAAAGAAAGCTGCTTAGCATTGTTATTGAGCAGAACCTGTCATCAGCATGGACGTGTCCCCCCTGGAATGGTGGTTGAAGAATGAAGGGACCTATGAATCTTGAGTGCACCTGGCATGTAAATATCTTGTGACGCCAGCTACAATGGTGCCATGAGAATGCCTGTTCTCATTTTCAGGTGACACTGTAAACAAGAAGCATGCAGCATTATCTCCTGCAAATGTAAACAAACTTTTTGTCTGAGTGATGGGCTGAACAAGAAGTAGGACAGAGTGGACTTGCAGGCTCTAAAATTTTATATTATTTTATTTTTGAATGCAGTTATTTTTTTGTACATAATTCTATCTTTGTAAGTTCAACTTTCATGATAAAGAGATTGCACTACAGTACTTGTATGAGGTGAATTGAAAAATACTATTTCTTTTGTTTTTTACCGTGCAAATATTTGTAATAAAAAATGAATATAAAGTGAGCACTGTACACTTTGTATTCTGTGTTGTAATTGAAATCAATATATTTGAAAATGTAGAAAACATCCAAAAATATTTAAATAAATGGTATTCTATTATTGTTTAACAGTGTGATTCTTTTATATAGTTTTATATACTTGAAAACTGTTATCATGTCACCCTTCAGTCTTCTCTTCTCCAGACTAAACATCTTTACTGAAATGTGGCACCCAGAACTGGACACAATACTCTAGTTGAGGCCTAATCAGTGCAAGTAGAGTGGAAGAATTACTTCTGGTGTCTTGCTTACAACACTCCTGCTAATACATCCCAGAATGATGTTTGCTTTTTTTGCAACAGTGTTACACTGTTGACTCATATTTAGCTTGTGATCCACTATGTCCCCCAGATCCCTTTTTGCAGTACTTCTTCCTAGGCAGTCATTTCCCATTTTGTATGTGTGCAACTGATTCTTCCTTCCTAAATGCAGTACTTTGCATTTGTCCTTATTGAATTTCATCCTATTTACTTCAGACCATTTCTCCAGTTTGTCCAGATCATTTTGAATTTTAATCCTGTCCCCCCAAAGCACTTGCAATCCCTCCCAACTTGCTATTGTCTTCAAATTTTTTGAGTGTACTCTCTATGCCATTATCTAAGGGTACGTCCAGACTACCCGCCGTATCGGCGGGTAGCGATCGATTTATCGGGGATCGATATATCGCGTCTCGTTAAGACGTGATATATCGATCCCTGAACGCGCTCCCCGTCGATTCTGGAACTCCACCGGAGCGAGCGGCGGTAGCGGAATCGACGGGGGAGCCGCGGCCGTCGATCCTGCGCCGTGAGGACGGGAGGTAAGTCGGAATAAGATATGTCGACTTCAGCTACGGTATTCCCGTAGCTGAACTTGCGTATCTTACATCGACACCCCCCCCAGTGTAGACCAGGCCTAAGTCATTGATGAAGATATTGAACAGAACTGGACCCGGAACTGATCCCTGCAAGACCCCAGTCAATATGCCCTTACAGATTTACTGTGAACCACTCTCACTTATCACCTTATTATCTTCTAGGTGTTTGCAAACTGATTGCTTCATTATGTGCTCCATTATCTTTCTGAGTACTAAAGTTAAGCTGACTGGTCTGTAATCCCCCGGTTGTCCTTATTTCCCTTTTTATAGATTGGCACTATATTTGCCCTTTTCCAGTCCTCTGGAATCTCTCCCGTCTTCCATTACTTTTCGAAGATAATCACTAATGGATCAGACCAGTCAGTTCCTTGAGTATTCTAGAATGTATTTCATCAGGCCCTGGTGACTTGAAGACATCTAACTTGTCTAAGTAATTTTTAACTTATTCTTTCCCTATTTTAGCCTCTGATTCTACCTATCTATTGGTCAAAAGAAGATAACTCTGACCCAAAATTTAACATATTTTATTGCTGTCATAAAAGGTGCTTAATAATATTTCTAGTAATCCTTAGTCTTTTGTATATTTCAGATGAAGCAGATTGGTAATGATGGCTACAACCCCACCTCTGTGGCAGAGTGGCTGGACTCAATTGAACTGGGTGACTATACCAAATCCTTTCTGATTAATGGCTATACATCGATGGACCTTGTGAAAAAAATCTGGGAGAGCGAATTAGTTAATGTAAGTTGATCTATTTGTAGCATGAAAAGCAATTCTGCAATGAACACACTTTTAAATACCCTTCGATGTGTCCCATTATAAATCAAAGAGATAATATGAAAAGAAATAACAATATAAATTGTTCCTATCTCTTATTTATTGTTAAAGATTATAGCAGGGGTTCTCAAACTGGGGGGTCATGAGCCATCAGGGGGTCATGAGGTTATTTTGGGGGGGTCATGAGCCATCAGCCTCCTCCTCCAAACCACGCTTTGCCTCCTGCATTTATAATAGTGTTAAATATAAAAGTGTTTTTTAATTTATAAAGGAGGTCGCACTCAGAGGTTTGCTGTGTGAAAGGGATCACCAATGCAAAAGTTTGAGAATCACTGGATTACATATTTTATACCTGAGATTAATATACCTTTCATTTCCATTTACTTGGTCCTTCTCTTAATCATGCAACTAAATTGGTATGGTATGAGTTTTGGCTTCAGGAAGACTAACAACTCTTTTAAAGTATGTTTTTCCAAAAGGTACATGAAAACAAAGGTGATAACTATAAAACATATTGTCTCCAGTTTGATTGAGAAAAGTATAGCAACAATACTCGCAATAAGGTTGCTTATAATTTATTTTTTCCATATACTCAGGCTAGATGAAGCATAGATAAAACAAACCTTCAATGTACTCAAGAAACTATGTTTAAGGAACAAAATATTTTAACTTTTCACTTCTGATTGTAACCTTGTTTTCTTATCTCTCAATTACGATAGATTTGGTGATGCACAAATACGTGGAAGTAACTGTAACAGTGTTATATATTGTCTGTAGAGCAAGTCCAATTTTCCACTGTTATAATGACTAACTTGACAGGAAAACATTATCATATATAACTTCCCCAGAGGTTAAGGTATCTGCAACTGAATTGTTGTCTATTTGTAAAACATGGTTGCTACAATTGCTCCAAGCATCCATACAGACAGCTGAACTGGCCTGTAGGCGGTCCCCTGGCAAAGACCGCTTATGTCACACTGTTTCTGCCCTCCCCACAGAACCACAAGAAGTACTCCTCTCCCTGGTGAAGAGGGCATTGCCATAGTGCTTTTCTGCCCCATCAACCCCTGACTGCCAGAACAGTCCCTTACAGGCCATAGGCAGGCAGGCATAAGTTACAGTAGCTGCTCTAACTTATGCTGGGGAACAACTCCGTGAACCGCAGGGTTGGGGAAAGGGAGGGCATAAGGATGGTATAAAGCCATCTTCCACTATCCCCTGAGCTGCACAGAGCACAGCTCAGATGCAGCCCAGAACAGGGACTTGAAAAAAGAGAATTCATAAATTGAAAGATAAAATTATTATGTGATACAATTTCTTCTCCTCACAATGGTCCCATGAAAATCCCATTGCATGTATTTATTAACATGAAAATGGACTGATGTAAGGACCAATTTCTGTGATGTAAGCACAGATGTTCTACACATGCATAATGCCCGTTGAATTCAGTGGGTATTGTGTGAACATACCTGAAGACAGTTTAGAGGCTAAACTATCCAGATCCTAGCTCTTTGACTTTTTTTTTTTAACTATAACTGTGAAGACTGAGACAGAGTCAAAGAAATAAAATCTGGAAAAACTTTATTTCAGAAGTTTACACAGACAAATCACCAGCACTGAGCTGAACAAGGTAATGGGTGGAGAACTTTTTCTCACAGGGCTCCCTGTCCATGCTTTTGCCAAAATCAGTTTGGCAACAAATTACCCTGTAGCTCCCCCCAGTGGCTCTTTAAACCTCATTAAAGGCTTCTGGCCTGATTCTGATCTCACTTAGGCTACGTCTACACTACCTGCCTGAATCGGCGGGTAGAAATCGATCTCTCGGGGATCGAATTATCGCGTCTCGTTGGGACACGACATTCGATCCCCAAATCGACGCTTGTACTCCACCAGCGGAGGTGGGAGTAAGCGCCGTCGACGGGGAGCCACGGAGGTCGATTTGCCGCCGTCCTCACAGCGGGGTAAGTCGGCTCCGATACGTCGAATTCAGCTACGCTGTTCGCGTAGCTGAATTTGCGTATCTTAAATCGACCCGACCCCCCCAGTGAGGACGTAGCCTTAGACCAATGTAAATGAGAAGTAACTACACTGAAGTCAGTAGAGTTGCACTACTGTAAAACTGGTGTAAATCAAATCAGAATAGGACCCTAGAATTGTTAAAGATTAACCTTATGTCTCCTTTGAGAATTGTCCCTGCTCATTCCCACTTTGGCAGACACCTTCCGTGATGCCATCAGTTCTAGAATTATTTGAAAAGCAATAACTGTTGTGGCTACCCACCTCTTACCTACCAAACTGAATGCTGTAGATTCAGTTATACAAAATTTCTTACCCTAACAGTTCTCTGTTCCTAACCTTCTGCCATAAGCAGTAGAGGCTCAGAAGTGTCATCTCAGTCTATTCAATATACGTTTTACTAATTTCTTTTCTCTTTTCTTCTTTTCTTGTTAATTCTTGTAGATTAGCCTATTAACAACCATATAAAAATATAGTTCAGTGAGCAAACTTGTAATTTAGGTGAGTATCTACTGTTGTGTGCAGTTATAATTTTTTTTTTGGAAAGCAGAAGTAGGTTAGAACTGTCAGACTTCTGAATTTTACTGTCTTGCTACAGAGCAGCTTTTATTCTGGTTCCAACATCAGTTCTAGCAATCCCAGTGCAGTTGGGTTACTATACCTAACAAAATGGATATTCCAAGAAAGTCTAAAGAGGAGGGCAGTTTGAGTCTTTGTCCGCAATAGAGGCCAACCCATTTAGCTACTCTAGTTCCTCACTCCATCTTGCTGGCACAAAGCAACTATTTTGATATACAACTTAACAGCTATGAACTAATGCCTACTACACTGTCTGTTATTCTTTCCTTAACCTTTTCAAAATTCTCTCTCATTCCCTTGCACCACGGAGTAGAATTGCTTCAAATAGTTGAATCTTTGAAATAACAGGGGGGAAAACACTATTCACTTCTTCATGCTGGCTTCCAACTTCCTTCTCTATCCTCTTTCAGGGACCCTGTCTCTGTGATTTAGACTGTTAGATTCACTTCTCCTACATTGGAATCAAAGATTTATGACAGCCTCCCAATCCTCCTCTATTGTGAATTTCTCAGGATGGTGAGATAGGA